CTCTTCAATGGTCATTTGCTCATTTTCATGATTATAAACGAGTTAAAAATGAAAATAAAATATTTTTACAACATGAAATGAATTGTTTATCTTGGAATATCTAAGTCTCTTGTAAATAATGTCTGGCAGAGACTTCAGAACACGGTTCACTGATATGTTGAAGACATTTGGTGTATTTTGGAAGATCTGAATGTTTTTGTCTGCATGTGGTACAATCATCATTGTGACTTTGATCTTTGCTGTGGGACATTGTTGGCCTAGAAATCTAGAAATACCGTAGAAGTTGCAAAAAGGTTGGTCTAGCCCAGGAGTAGGCATTCCTGGTTCTGGAGTGCCGCTATCCAACATGTTTTAGTTTTTCCCTGTTCTTACACACCTGATTTAAATCAGTGAGTGGTTAACAGTAGGGCTGCAACAACGAATCGATAAATTCGATGAAAATCGATTACTAAAAGCGTTGGCAACGAATTGCGTCATCGATTCGTTGTGTCGCACAACTCTTCCAAAAGCCCCCCCCCCCCCCCCCCCCTTCCCGCCCACCGTTGCGCACAGACCAGAGCAAGTCAGATCAGCGCGAGGGAGAGCCGCAGATCAGCGCGAGGGAGAGCCGCAGATCAGCGCGGGGGAGAGCCGGTACCGCAGATCAGCGCGAGAGAGAGCCGGTACCGGCAGATCAGCGCAAGGGAGAGCCTGCAGACTTGCGCTGCTGCGAACCGGTTCCGCATTGTTGCACAGCGATCCAGGCAGCTGCTTCCAGCGCACGGTCCATTCTCAAAGTGGCGCAACCAAAAAACTATAATTAGCACACGATCGTTCATGTCCGCACATGTTCTCTATTTTCTGTCTTATTTGTGCCTGAAGCGCGCTACTGCGGAGCTCATCACCTGTGCTGTGGTGATGTCACCTCACGCAGCATCGAAAACGCGCTCTGCGCTTTGCGGTCAGGAGATCTCTTTGATCTGCTCAAAAGTAACTGATGAGGTGAAAAGGTAAGAATCCAGGCAACAGATTTTCTGGAGAATTATGAGGAGACGCAGGAAGATGAGAGACAGACAGGACAGGAAAATAGTTAAATAAAAACAAGAAAACAGTCAAATGTAGGTAGATTTATCTCCACTACACGTTTTTACCAGTAAAAAACAATAAGTTATACACGTCATATTTATACATCTGATACAATTCAGATCACCTTCAAAACTCAGTCACACACCCAGGGCCGTTTCAAGACATTTTGGGGGCCAAGGCAAAATGCCCCCCCCCCCCATAACTGGGTTCCCCAGAAGCCTCTGTGTAATCCATACCCTCTCCAGGAGTGTTAGTTATATGGTGTTTATAAAAGCCCCTCAGACATCACTGACATGTTCTAATATATCAGATGAAAAACTAAATTATCAGACACGCTGTCTCATCTGCTGCTTTTCTAAACTTGCAAAAAGTAACAAAACCATTTGAAAGCCACTATTTGTGGATTCTCTGAAAGTTTCCATGGAGTGTGTGACAACTTATTTTTTCATTGATCCTATCGTCTAATCTCACAGCTGAAACAAGCATCCTTAATAATCTGTGCACAGGAAGCTTACCGATGCTGTAGTAAAACAAAAGGTAGTTTCTTATTAATAAAACCTTGTTGCAGCACTAAAGCATAAAAATGAGATTTTGCATTAAATATGCAAAATATTTACATATGAATTGTTTTAGAGCCCTTTTATTGGCAGAATCTGATATTAATTTAGTTCTTACAAAAAATGGGTCCCAACATGGTTTGTGTGGCGTTGCCATAGAGTGACGTCATAGGCACAGATTCCCTGTCCTCTTGTTTGGAAATGGAAATATGATCACCCTATATTAAACAAACTGTCCACCCGGGCTTTTGCGCTGCACAGAGACGCTTCGCTGCCTACGACTGAATGTCAGTTGAGAGTCAGTCTCATGCAGACTGACCAATGAAGAGAGGGCCTCAAGTTAAGACCCTCTCCTCATTGGTCAGTCCACACGAGGTGGGTCAAAGGTTACTCTGGGCGGGTTACGTGTTGTCAGGCATTCAAGTATTGAGTATATTTTCTGCATATTACAGTAAAATATTCTGTATGTGACCACATTATGGTGATCCTTGGGTCGTGATGATGGAGCCCTTGAATATTGTTGCCCAGGGTACAACAAAGTGTTAATCTGGCCCTGGTTCCGCCGTCACATTCCCGCAGAAACTGGTTGATCACACCGGGGCCAGACTACTAGCATGTGGTTTTACAACCACAATGTCCTCGGAAGCAAAAACGCTTTTAAAAGGGAGGGAGGAGTCCTAACTGTTGCTGCAGGCGTGTTGTGTGAGAGTGCAGTTATATACTGGTATTTTTGGGTTCAGTTGCTTTCATGTGGCCTAATGTGAGTCTATTTGGGATCATTGGAATGATCAGCAGCATTTCTTGATGTGACTTTATGGCAGTTGCCCAGGGCATCATCGCAAGGAGGATGGCATTCATTTCTTTTTGTTTTATTTGGTATTTTTTCAGTCATTTTTGGAAATGGTGATCAGTTTTGATTAATTCACAGCCTATGTTTAATTACATTTAAAATAAATGTCAACAGATGAGATCAAGCAAAACAGATGAGAATTGCCCTTAAGCTGTTTAACTTGGACCAAGCATTTTAGGTCACAGATAGATGTAGCTTAGGGTCTCTGTCTATACACCTTATAAGACAATTTAGGTGATGGCATGTTGTTTTTCTGCTATTGAACTGTTTTCTAATAATGTTGTGTTAAATAAAGTGAAGGAAGGAGAGAAATAACGTTTCCCTAGCAGTTTTTAAAAATTTCCCCATGTAATCCGATTAATCGATTAATCGTGTCGAGACCCCGTCCGATTAATCGATTATCCAAATAATCGTTTGTTGCAGCCCTAGTTAACAGGCTTCTGTAGAGCTTGATAACTTGGTGAACAGGTGAAACAACCATTCACATAGGTGTGTAGTTGAAGCTTAAACATGCTTGATAGCAGCACTCCACGTAGGCCCGGCCAGTCACAGTACTCTGTAGAGATGTTGGGCAGGCGTAGCACCATTACGGCAGAACTTTTTTTGTGATGATGGCAGAGCTGTGACGGAGCAAAGTTACAAAGATGGCTCAATAACCATCAGGAGGCCAAGCGAGGCAACCATCAGGAGGCCAAGCGAGGCTTGGCAGCCCGCCAGACTTAAGCTGGGCGTACACTGTGCGACTTTTTCACTTTTTTGAGCCGATTTTCCACTCGTGCGATAAACCACAAGATCGGGGCGAGTTTTGCGCTGAGCGTCGTGTAGTATAAAGGGGGTTACGAGAGGCGATTAACACCACATGACCAGCTACCAATCAGCAATCGTGAGCTCGCACGGACTTCTGGCGTGTTTGATATTTTGCTCGTCCCTCGTGAGGATATCGCACTGTTGAAGCGGCTCTGCGAGCAGCTGCGACCCAAAAAGTACCAGAACCACTCACGGCGCATGCACAATCATCCATCAACACCGCTCGCTCGCTATTTCCCTAATAACACACGTTCGTTTTTATTTCTACACGTTTTTTTTACTCACAAAGATTGTCAAGAAAGCATGTTTGTCGTGTTCATGTCAAATTAAACTGATCACTAAACACAGATTTACTTTCTTTATTTCGTTTTCCTCATCCAACCCCCATAAATCCCTGTGTGTCCTCCTGCAGCACTCCCGAAGGACAACAGGCAAAAAAAAAAGTCTGATGTGTTGTGTAAAAACTGCTAATTTTAGCAGTTTTAGGGCCGACGTGTTGCTACCAGACGTACAGTGTGAGCAGTCAGGTCGCATCCGAGAACTGGGTCGTGCAGTGTGAGCACATGACTCGTGAGATCTGCTCTGCGAGGAAGTCGTACAGTTTGAGCTGAAGCTGAGTGCTACGAGTGAAAATGTCGCCCAGTGTCCGCCCAGACTAATACTGCGCTGGGGTTAACCCTGTGGCTGCTTAAAGATTCCGGCGCACAGGAGCAGTTTGTCACGGACTCTGTGTTTGTAAACTGTCAACAGGCTGCAGTTGTTGATTTTCAGGAAGTTTAATTTTATTATGGCAGGTTAAGAGGAAGCATGTCTGTCGATATATCTGACAATTTTAACTTTTTATCGGATAATATTCAAACACGTTGGTAATCTCCAACTGCCATTTTTGCAAACAATGGCTCAGATATCATTGGTAAAATAAATTTAATTTCCCTTGGTGGCAGCAGTACCACTGACTGTCATATTTGATAGCACACGTTCTAACAGTTGTGTTTAAGAAAACAAAGAGAGACCAGTCTGATTCTGTACACTGAAAAAGTCGTTTACATGTTTAAGACAAACGTATCACATAAAGTACAGCAGTAATTAATCATGGCCACAAGGATTGGACATGGATGATCAAACAAATGCAAATCTGGTAATGAATGCACAAATGTAGGGTAAACTCTTCTGCTTTTCCTGTTAATGATAAAACATTCCAGTGATTTGGGAATAGTTACCTATCATGCATATTTGACCAGTGGTGCTAAAAGCTTACTCAGACTGAAGCTACAATTAGTGAAAATAAAATGTTTCCAGGTCGTATCATTGAGTTTTAATGACTTGTGCTTAGAGCTCATAAAGTTTCATACTTGTGACATCATTACAACCTTTTAGTGACTCAACACAAGCATTATTGGTCAAAGCCCTCTCTGTAGCCAGTAATTTACAGTGGCATGTAAATTGGTGAGGTCATCTCATCTTGCATGTTTAACTTTGTTTCTCCCATGATGCATGACATCGCTACAGTGGTGTTTTCTTTTATTAGGAATAGCTTTAGAGCTGTTTTTAGCGTGCTTGTGTCTTTGGGCCTTTCTCAGTGCACCACTGTGGGAATATGATCCTGGGAGGAGAAACATGCCCCTCTGCATTCACACATGAATATGTCTAATGCAAGTAATGTGGAACTGTTTATGCGGCTGGTTTAATTAACAGCATTTTTTGTCTCTTTTTTTTTTCAGGATTCTGTGGACGCTACAGCAGCAGGTGTTTTTCTAATTGGATTTAGCCCACTGACATTCTCCCACAGCCATGGAATCGGTATGTTGATAAACATACATTTAAAGTGCAACATCAAGCTGGTTCTTACTCCTTTTTAAAGCCACTGTTGGTGACGCGCTTCTGTAAAGTCCTGTTTTTTAAAAAGTTTTTGACTGTTTGTTGTTTATTTCATAAAATAGGGATTGTTGGATCCATTTTTGGAGTGTGTTTACATTTGTGTGTGCATTAAGAACCAAAACAGCTTGTTTACCTGGGACAACAGCGTTGTAAAGCCTAAATATTTACTTTTGCCACCTTTGCAACACTTAAAAACATGGTATATATACCGTAAATCCTCTAATACAGGCCCGGGCCTGTATTTGACTCAAGCTCATCAAGCTCCAGGCCTTTATTGGAAGGAGGACCAGAAGTTAGGGCTGTAGCGAAGCCTCGACGAAGTCGACGGCTCGATTCTAAAAATTTGTCGACGTCAGATCCGGAAGTCGACGCACCGTGCCCACTTGTTGCATCCCCAGGAGTTTGTAAATAGAGGAGGAATCTGCCTGTTTTTCCTCTAGTTCGCCCTCTTCTCCGCCTTCACTAACATCTCCACCAAATACCGAAGACCCGGAACAACGTCCGTCCACTACTAGATTATTTTCCTGTTTTGCCCCTTCGTCTCCCTGCAACGGACAACAACTTCCGGGGTCAGATGCGCTGCTTCGTGTCTATCGCAGATGTAGAAAATCACCGGGAGCGCTTCTCCCTTCATTAAGGAGCTTCTTTCAGACATGAGGAGAGCTGTTTTGGTGGTAGCAGTCTCTCCTCCTTGCTGGTCTGTTTGCTGCTGGGTGTTTTTGGTTTATTTAAACTTGGTAACTTGAACTTAACGTTGGTAAAGCTACTGTTAGCATCTTCGCTAACAGCTTCTTGCGTTGGGATAAGCTGTTACGTTTTGGTTTAGAGTTAATCTTTTTTGTGGTGTAGATCTCCCTTTTATTACATTTAGAGTGTTGTGGGTTTTCGGTTTAGTGTAAAATATCACCTGAGTTTGGTTTAACCCGTAAGACCACTCGCCTCACGCTCTTAAGTGACCAAAACAAAGCAGCATGGAGACACTCCATCTTCTACCACCTCTCAGGCAGCAGCCTGCTCTCCCAAGTTCTACACGTCACCAGAACATAACCAACCGCAACACAATAAAAGCAGTGTTATACAAAATGGAAGGCCTGTAGTGTTTATTCTCTTACAGTAAGAATTTATCAATTTTTTTGAGGAATTTTTTTGAGATTTTCTGGTTTTTGTTAATTGTGCAATAGAAAAATAATCATTAGATTAATTTTCTAAATAGTCATTAGAATAGTCGACTATTCGATAAAATAATCGTCAGAATAATCGTTTTAAAAATAATCGTTTACCCCCAGCCCTACCAGAAGTAGAGGCAGGCCTCAATTTCTATTTGAGCAAAATGAACTAATGGTTCGCTGGAGTTTTTTACAATTAAAATTGCGCCCACATTTTCAAAGTTAAACACATTTCTTTTAACAATGGTAGTTTCTGCTTCAGCCCTCTCCCCCCTCCCCCTGCGCAGCGGAGCAAACACACTGATGCGCCTGCAGCCTCTCGGAGTTCCTGCTGCTCTAAACATTAAATTATTTCATTTTCTGTTCCTCACTTCTGATGACCTTCAATGGTGTCTGTTTGTTGCAATCACCAGGTACAAAAACTAACTTGTTTTTATTTGACTATTTTTCTGTCCTGTCTCTGTTTATCTTCCTGCATCTCCTCTCAATCCTAAAGAAAAACTGCTACCTGGGTTCATATATATTCACCTTATGAGTTATCTTTGAACTGCAGTTCTAAAAGATCTACCGACCGCAAAAACAGCGGAGTGCTCCCGGCCACATCAGTTAGGTACGTCACCGAGGACAAAACAGGTGATGCGCCCTGATCCACAGCAGCGAAACGCATCAGGCACAAATAAAAGACAGAAAACATGAAAGGAAATGAGCCAACATGAACGATCGCGTGTTAAATTAGTTTTTGAGGTGGCGACACCTGATTTGATAATGTTACTGTGGCCGTGCTCAGGACGCAGATGTCTGGAGCGCGTCAACAATCAGAGCTTTGCATGCGCAAGCTGGTTAAGGTTAGGATGGGGGTGAGGGGAAGGTTAAATTGCAAGAGGGTAAACGTCACAATTTGGTTAAATGTCCGTTTTACGGCGGGTGTCAGTACCAACACTCTGGCACAGCGCGTTGCCTCCCGACGCGCAGGAGCTTGTCACCTGCTGACAGCAGGCTGCTGTCTTTTCCGAGGACTGCATTTTGCTGGTCATTATCACGTGACAGCGACTAGTCGATGACAGGCATAAAAAGTCACTATAGAGCGGTGAAGTCGACTAGTGACTAGTTCATACAACCCCTGCTACTGCTCCCCAGAGTGTTCTGCAGCATAATCAGCACGTTCTCTTTGAACTTGATATCAAATTTTCGCCTCCTCTTCGTCTCCGCACGGTTAAAGTTACCCTCGCGGTCTATCACTGGCAAATCAAAAGTGAGACGGATGACACAACCACCCCCGTACTTGCTTGTTACCACATTCCACCCGGCCACAATTAAAAGCCGGCCATTATTCACCGCCGCCGACTCCAACACCGGCCAAAATGTGATACCCGGCAGTTAATCAAATACAGGCTAATATTAGAGGATTTACGGTAGCTTATTATGCAACTAAAATATGTATAATAAAGTCATATAATAGAAGGCAAACCTCTATTACCCCCATATATGGTCACAAGCTTTGGGTAGTTACTGAAAGAACGGGGTCACGGATACAAACGGCCAAAGTGGGTTTTCTCTCCAGGGTGGCTGGGCTCTCAAAGTTTAAGTTAAAGTCCCATTAGTTGTCACACACACTGATGTGTGTGCGAAATTTGTTCTCCGCATTTGACCCATCCCCTGGGGGAGCGGTGAGCTGCAGACACAGCCGCGCTCGGGAACCATTTGGTGGTTTAACCCCCCAATCCAACCCCTTAATGCTGATTGTCAAGCAGGGAGGCATTGGGTCCCATTTTTTCAAAGTCTTTGGTATGACCCGACCAGGAATTGAACCCTGACCTCCCAGTCTCAGGGCGGACACTCTACCACTAGGCTACTGAGCCTAGTTCTCTTCGAGATGTTTTGAAAAGCTCGGTCATCCAGGAGGGGCTCGGAGTAGATCTGCTGCTCCTCCACATCGGGAATCTAGTTAGGATGCCTTCTGGACGCCTCCCTGATGAGGTTTTTCAGGCACATCCAACCGAGAGGAGACCTAATGGAAGACCCAGGACACGCTGGAGGAACTAATGATGTGTGTGTGTGTCCCCAGTGAGTCATGGCAGATGGCTGCTTATACTGAGCCAGGATTAGGGCTGGGCATCATTTTTATTTTGAACGATTCCGATTCCAATTCCTCGTTTCAATTCCGGTTCCTATCAATTCCCGATTCGGATTCTTTGAAGATATGACATGTTTTACATGAGCCAGCTAACCACAGGTCCTACTTGATGAAATAATCTCAACTTCAATTGAATTTTAATTCTAGGAACAACAGCATCACCTTCATTTAGACAAAAACATGTTTTTGAGAGAAAAAGAAAAAGACTTGCAGCACAACCAGTGTGTTTGTTTCTGACCACAACCAAAGTCTGGAAGAAGCCTCTGGGATGAGAGGCTAAATGTCTCCAACATATCCAGAAACGTCCAGCTGTTTTCAGCTAAAACTCTCAGGATGATCGTGTCCAGGATGACTGAGAACTACACCTCCATGCTGCAGCATGGAGCGTTTGTTTATATCTGGGTGGGGGGAGGGGGGACTCGGTGCTGCACACAGACAGCTGGTGTGATCAGCTCTGAAAAGCGTTGATCACAATTTGCAGATCCCGTTTATTTTTCACGGAGATCGGCCGCGGATTCCTCTTCCGTCGGCATTCTAGGAATCGAAACTAGGAATCGAAATAAAAAACGTTGAGCCATTCCGGGAAAAATGAACAGTTGGAACCGGTTCCAATCGATGCTCGATGCCCAACCCTAGCCAGGATCCTCTGGAAGTTTCTCCCTGTTAAAAGGGAGTTTTCCTCCACTGTCGCTGCATCCTTGCTTAGTATGAGGTTTGCTGTAAAGACTCTGACACTAGTCAGTGACTTGATGCAATCTGCTTGGTTCCTTATATAGGGCTGCATGGTGGCACAGTTGTTAGCACTGTTGCCTTGCAGCAAGAAGGTTGCAGGTTCAAAACTCGGCTACGGCCTTTCTGCGTGGCGTTGCATGATCTCCCCATGCATGCGTGTGTTTTTTTTCTCCGGGTACTCCGGTATCCCCCACAGATCACAACATGCCCTATAGATCAAAACTTGTTTGTTGCTTTGGATAAAAGCGTCTGCCAAATAAACATAAACATATGGGGAACTTTTTACTGATTGGCTTAACGAACCGAGCTGGATTGAAATGTTTATTGTGTGAAGTGCCTTGAGATGACTCTTGTTGTGATTTGGCGCTAAATAAATAAACTGAATTGAATCTAATTGAATTGCCTTGAATGGCATTTTCACATCTGGCCCAGCTGGCCCACCCTCGCATGACCAGGTTTTGTTCACGCCATGATGTCTGTGGTTCACACAGCCTTCTCTGGAACGCGGATGTCTCCAAACGCATGGGCGGGGCAAAAGACGAGCTGAGAAGTCTGTGGTGTCGTCTTTAAATTAGTAAACGAAAGCGGCCAACAGCAGTGTTGCTTACAGGAAGCACACTGCTTGGTACACTCTCACTGCACAGTGGTGCAGCTGTGGGCTGTTCTCGGAGCAGACAGTCTGTCCTCGCGCTCCCGCGGCCGGTCTAAGCTGCAGAGAAGATGTTTACCCCACCACATTCACACTGATAAATGATGATCGCTCGTGTGGGAAGTCGTCGCAGGCTGATTCTCCTTGCCAGTCAGAGGCTCCTACTAGCAGGTAGACGTGAACTTCAACAAGCCAATCAGTCCGTAGTGGTTGTGTTGTGGTGGCTGAGCACGAAGCTGAC